CCATTTTCTATTAAAATGCATTTTTTTTTTTATTGGAATACAACGCTTATTCTTATAGGATAAAAGATTATCTATTGCCTGTAGTTTATCTTACGATTGTTCTCATTCAACGTTTCCCTGTTTATTTTAATTAGAATGTTCTATGATCGATAAATATTTAAATTTATAGTATTATTTCAGCATAGTAATATTTTCTCTTATTTGTATATATTTTGTATCTAATTAGAAAGACTGCCGAAATATCACTATACTAAGTTATCTTTCCAGCATATTTGGTATATTATATTAAATCTATGCCATGGCATTTATGCTGTGTGTGACACTATATAGAAAATATTTGCTACATTCATTAAGCGGTCTTAATCTTTTAAGACACATCAGTTCACAATGGTGAAGCACTGAGATTTATGTACTCAAGACATCAATTTATACTGTGTTATGATTGCTAGCACTGCTTTCTGCTGTACATAACATTTTATTTCTTATTGAATACATAGTGAATAAAATGCCTTTTGATCTAGTATATTTTATAAACTTGTAATTGTTTGGCCTTGACTATTCTAGAGGGATAAAGGAATATTATTGTGAATATAAATGAGAAGAGTTATGTTTGGGCCTCCTTATCTCTTTGACTCTTTAAAATAAAGAACTCTAATTTGAAAATGTGTAGTTTATTTTTCCAATCATCAACAAAGTATTTAAAGTAAACTTTTTTCTTTTTACATCTAAACAAGCTGGGAAGGATTAAAGTTGAGTTGACCATTATCAACGTTTTTGGTGTATATTCTCAGAGTGTTACAGAGTTAAAATCTTCATTTTCCCTTTAGGATCCATTAATTTTAGTTATTAAAAAATCGTGACATTTTATTGTTATTACAAAATTAGGATTTGCACTATCCGGGACAGAATGCTAAGAAGAGGCAGATTGCAGGCTATAAGCTTGTTCTAGACAGAAAAAGATAAAACTGAACGGTGAAATAAAATCAATCCTGGTGTCAGAAAAGCAGAGACCCAACTAACATAACAAATGCTTGAGAAAAGGAAACTCTATGAGAAGAGAAACAGACTTCTTGGAATACAATCTTCCAGTGCATAGGTTCACGAAAGTAATCCTGAGGTGTCGTGGGGGAGTGCGGGCGGAACACTAGATACAAATGAGCTCTTCCGCGGTGAGTTGCACACTGAACTGAATGTGAGTTGGCGTGGTCACACAGCTCCTAAGGGAAAACCATCTTATTCATCTTTGTGCCATCAGTGCCTGGGCATTTAAGTGTTTACCGA